ATGGGTAGCGGCTGTCGTGCTGGTGTCGGTCTCTACCGATCGATCGGACGGACGAGATTTGCGGTCAGCGGTGGCTGATGTACATAGACGAGTCTGTGTCGTCGGAAAGAAGATATGAAGAGCATGGTAGCTTGCTTGCATGAGGTTGAGCGCGGTTGAGCGTGATTTTGAGCGATGGAGTCGGTGAGTGGACGAAGCCCGTCTAGCTCAGTCGGTAGAGCGCAAGACTCTTAATCTTGTGGTCGTGGGTTCGAGCCCCACGGTGGGCGACTGCTTTACTGTGGTCTCTCTTGAGATTCTGTTTTCACTTCCACCAAACAAATCCATTTGCATTGGACTACAGTTTTGTCGCCGCTTCGTACAAGTTTTCTCGTAGCGTCAGCGATACGCGCATTCTGCGTCTCTGCAGGCTGACAGCTAGATATATTCCGGAAAGCCTGCCATGAGGCTGGTGCGTATCGCGCATTCGCAACATCATTGACCACATATCGTGTTTACATACGTACGACAAATCAACTCTCGATGTCGATGGGATGAAGCATCAACACGTCGTCTGTAGGTTGTGCGGCCTGCCAAGGAGAGGTCGCACACGAGTCGCCATGGGTAGCGGCTGTCGTGCTGGTGTCGGTCTCTACCGATCGATCGGACGGACGAGATTTGCGGTCAGCGGTGGCTGATGTACATAGACGAGTCTGTGTCGTCGGAAAGAAGATATGAAGAGCATGGTAGCTTGCTTGCATGAGGTTGAGCGCGGTTGAGCGTGATTTTGAGCGATGGAGTCGGTGAGTGGACGAAGCCCGTCTAGCTCAGTTGAAAGTTGGCTGTATTCGTCCACGGCCCATCCTCTCGGCCCGGCTTAGATCCTATACTTTCATTCTGATTTTTTCATTCTTTTTCCTATTATTGGTTCGCGCTATCGGTCGGGACTGTCTTGATTTCGCTTGAAGTCGTCCGCTCTCCAAGTAGTGTGCTCGTTGGTAGGGTTCCATGGTACTGAATTTATTTCTTGTCGTGGCCTTCTTTGTGGCCTGGCGGGGTTTGAACTGGTATGAGTGGAAGGTCGGTGCTTTGCATTACAAGGGTGGGAACTAGCCCGTCTAGCTCAGTCGGTAGAGCGCAAGACTCTTAATCTTGTGGTCGTGGGTTCGAGCCCCACGGTGGGCGACTGCTTTACTGTGGTCTCTCTTGAGATTCTGTTTTCACTTCCACCAAACAAATCCATTTGCATTGGACTACAGTTTTGTCGCCGCTTCGTACAAGTTTTCTCGTAGCGTCAGCGATACGCGCATTCTGCGTCTCTGCAGGCTGACAGCTAGATATATTCCGGAAAGCCTGCCATGAGGCTGGTGCGTATCGCGCATTCGCAACATCATTGACCACATATCGTGTTTACATACGTACGACAAATCAACTCTCGATGTCGATGGGATGAAGCATCAACACGTCGTCTGTAGGTTGTGCGGCCTGCCAAGGAGAGGTCGCACACGAGTCGCCATGGGTAGCGGCTGTCGTGCTGGTGTCGGTCTCTACCGATCGATCGGACGGACGAGATTTGCGGTCAGCGGTGGCTGATGTACATAGACGAGTCTGTGTCGTCGGAAAGAAGATATGAAGAGCATGGTAGCTTGCTTGCATGAGGTTGAGCGCGGTTGAGCGTGATTTTGAGCGATGGAGTCGGTGAGTGGACGAAGCCCGTCTAGCTCAGTCGGTAGAGCGCAAGACTCTTAATCTTGTGGTCGTGGGTTCGAGCCCCACGGTGGGCGACTGCTTTACTGTGGTCTCTCTTGAGATTCTGTTTTCACTTCCACCAAACAAATCCATTTGCATTGGACTACAGTTTTGTCGCCGCTTCGTACAAGTTTTCTCGTAGCGTCAGCGATACGCGCATTCTGCGTCTCTGCAGGCTGACAGCTAGATATATTCCGGAAAGCCTGCCATGAGGCTGGTGCGTATCGCGCATTCGCAACATCATTGACCACATATCGTGTTTACATACGTACGACAAATCAACTCTCGATGTCGATGGGATGAAGCATCAACACGTCGTCTGTAGGTTGTGCGGCCTGCCAAGGAGAGGTCGCACACGAGTCGCCATGGGTAGCGGCTGTCGTGCTGGTGTCGGTCTCTACCGATCGATCGGACGGACGAGATTTGCGGTCAGCGGTGGCTGATGTACATAGACGAGTCTGTGTCGTCGGAAAGAAGATATGAAGAGCATGGTAGCTTGCTTGCATGAGGTTGAGCGCGGTTGAGCGTGATTTTGAGCGATGGAGTCGGTGAGTGGACGAAGCCCGTCTAGCTCAGTCGGTAGAGCGCAAGACTCTTAATCTTGTGGTCGTGGGTTCGAGCCCCACGGTGGGCGACTGCTTTACTGTGGTCTCTCTTGAGATTCTGTTTTCACTTCCACCAAACAAATCCATTTGCATTGGACTACAGTTTTGTCGCCGCTTCGTACAAGTTTTCTCGTAGCGTCAGCGATACGCGCATTCTGCGTCTCTGCAGGCTGACAGCTAGATATATTCCGGAAAGCCTGCCATGAGGCTGGTGCGTATCGCGCATTCGCAACATCATTGACCACATATCGTGTTTACATACGTACGACAAATCAACTCTCGATGTCGATGGGATGAAGCATCAACACGTCGTCTGTAGGTTGTGCGGCCTGCCAAGGAGAGGTCGCACACGAGTCGCCATGGGTAGCGGCTGTCGTGCTGGTGTCGGTCTCTACCGATCGATCGGACGGACGAGATTTGCGGTCAGCGGTGGCTGATGTACATAGACGAGTCTGTGTCGTCGGAAAGAAGATATGAAGAGCATGGTAGCTTGCTTGCATGAGGTTGAGCGCGGTTGAGCGTGATTTTGAGCGATGGAGTCGGTGAGTGGACGAAGCCCGTCTAGCTCAGTCGGTAGAGCGCAAGACTCTTAATCTTGTGGTCGTGGGTTCGAGCCCCACGGTGGGCGACTGCTTTACTGTGGTCTCTCTTGAGATTCTGTTTTCACTTCCACCAAACAAATCCATTTGCATTGGACTACAGTTTTGTCGCCGCTTCGTACAAGTTTTCTCGTAGCGTCAGCGATACGCGCATTCTGCGTCTCTGCAGGCTGACAGCTAGATATATTCCGGAAAGCCTGCCATGAGGCTGGTGCGTATCGCGCATTCGCAACATCATTGACCACATATCGTGTTTACATACGTACGACAAATCAACTCTCGATGTCGATGGGATGAAGCATCAACACGTCGTCTGTAGGTTGTGCGGCCTGCCAAGGAGAGGTCGCACACGAGTCGCCATGGGTAGCGGCTGTCGTGCTGGTGTCGGTCTCTACCGATCGATCGGACGGACGAGATTTGCGGTCAGCGGTGGCTGATGTACATAGACGAGTCTGTGTCGTCGGAAAGAAGATATGAAGAGCATGGTAGCTTGCTTGCATGAGGTTGAGCGCGGTTGAGCGTGATTTTGAGCGATGGAGTCGGTGAGTGGACGAAGCCCGTCTAGCTCAGTCGGTAGAGCGCAAGACTCTTAATCTTGTGGTCGTGGGTTCGAGCCCCACGGTGGGCGACTGCTTTACTGTGGTCTCTCTTGAGATTCTGTTTTCACTTCCACCAAACAAATCCATTTGCATTGGACTACAGTTTTGTCGCCGCTTCGTACAAGTTTTCTCGTAGCGTCAGCGATACGCGCATTCTGCGTCTCTGCAGGCTGACAGCTAGATATATTCCGGAAAGCCTGCCATGAGGCTGGTGCGTATCGCGCATTCGCAACATCATTGACCACATATCGTGTTTACATACGTACGACAAATCAACTCTCGATGTCGATGGGATGAAGCATCAACACGTCGTCTGTAGGTTGTGCGGCCTGCCAAGGAGAGGTCGCACACGAGTCGCCATGGGTAGCGGCTGTCGTGCTGGTGTCGGTCTCTACCGATCGATCGGACGGACGAGATTTGCGGTCAGCGGTGGCTGATGTACATAGACGAGTCTGTGTCGTCGGAAAGAAGATATGAAGAGCATGGTAGCTTGCTTGCATGAGGTTGAGCGCGGTTGAGCGTGATTTTGAGCGATGGAGTCGGTGAGTGGACGAAGCCCGTCTAGCTCAGTCGGTAGAGCGCAAGACTCTTAATCTTGTGGTCGTGGGTTCGAGCCCCACGGTGGGCGACTGCTTTACTGTGGTCTCTCTTGAGATTCTGTTTTCACTTCCACCAAACAAATCCATTTGCATTGGACTACAGTTTTGTCGCCGCTTCGTACAAGTTTTCTCGTAGCGTCAGCGATACGCGCATTCTGCGTCTCTGCAGGCTGACAGCTAGATATATTCCGGAAAGCCTGCCATGAGGCTGGTGCGTATCGCGCATTCGCAACATCATTGACCACATATCGTGTTTACATACGTACGACAAATCAACTCTCGATGTCGATGGGATGAAGCATCAACACGTCGTCTGTAGGTTGTGCGGCCTGCCAAGGAGAGGTCGCACACGAGTCGCCATGGGTAGCGGCTGTCGTGCTGGTGTCGGTCTCTACCGATCGATCGGACGGACGAGATTTGCGGTCAGCGGTGGCTGATGTACATAGACGAGTCTGTGTCGTCGGAAAGAAGATATGAAGAGCATGGTAGCTTGCTTGCATGAGGTTGAGCGCGGTTGAGCGTGATTTTGAGCGATGGAGTCGGTGAGTGGACGAAGCCCGTCTAGCTCAGTTGAAAGGATGTCTTTATTAAGAAATGAAGACAAATGACTTCTCAAACTGCATGACTATGAGGTATACCGGAGGGTGTCGGGAGGTCAAAAGGGGATAACCCCAAAATGACTTGAGGTCGACGTGATGGACGGCTTAAGTAGCGAGCGGCACGCGTAATTATGTCACGGTCGTGGCGAAATCCATCCGTGGGCCCGGGCAGGCAGGAGCTAGTCCATATTTGTTTGTTTGTTTGTCTGTTTGTTTTTTGTTTTTTTTTTTTTGTTTTTTTTTTTTGAATGGTCGGTGTCGTTATTGGAAAATGCGAAACAACACGAACGCACGGACCGCGCCCAGGCGGGACGCAGCTGAAGACCGGTCGGGTAGCGGAGAGGAGCTCGCGCTACCAGGTAATGACACCGCCAGTGGGGCAGCAGCAGAGACAGCCGGTGGAGAAGACCGGCAGGTGTCTTCGGTCCTAACGGAAGGGCATGCCACAGGTACGCGCGCCGCCGTGCCGAGGGAGGCCATTTCTAACGTCGACTTTTTTCTTTTTTTTACTTTTTTTTCACTTTTTTTTGACTTTTTTTTTTTGTGGTTGCCGCAGGTGCTGAACCCGAGCCCGTGAGGCTGACCGGGACCCAAGTCAGCAGACATGATTCTTTGTCGGAGAGCCTCGTCGAAGGTGCTGCTCACCCCGGACTTCTAGGGTCGGCGCATGAGCCGACTGTGTCGGAGGCTGTGGGCCCCGTTGCCAGGGAGAGCAGCACCAGAAGCGGGGAGGATGACAGGATGAATGCCGCCGGCTTGGGAGGAAGCAGCTCCATGGACGATGCAAAAGAGCCGAACCGAAAGCGTCTGCGACGATCTCAAGTCATCATGGTTGACGACGAAGAGGTGTCGGAGGAAGACGAGGAGGAGCACGCTGTGACGCGCATCATGGGACGTCGAGACCTGGATTCAACCATCCAGTATTTAGTCCAGTGGGAAGACCGGACGTCGCTGTGGAAAAGCGCAGATGAGCTGGGAAACTGTGCCGAGATGGTTGCCGCGTACGACATGTATATCGAAAAGCACCCGGACCAGTCGACTCCGTACGCCGCGTTCGTGGCGATGGACATGTCAAGCATCAAGCTGCTGGGAGACAACCACAAGGACGACTGCGCATTGCACGCACTTCAGATGGCCTTCGAGCTGATGGGAGGGTTTGAAGAAACAGCCGGCAGGTTGAAGGAGCTGTCCGAGGCGTATCTCGAGCGCATGGTCATCAGCGACAGCCGCCGACAGGGGGGACTGAAGTTCGGGCAGCTGACCCAGTTCTTGAAGAATGAAGTTCCGCGGACGGGATGGCGCGTGAACAAGAACTCCTTCATGAAGAACCGATACAAAGGGACGGGAACAGGTCCGTATGGCGTCGCACAGCTCGCGTGGCGAGACCAAGATCCCCTTGAAGATGGAGTGTATCTTGTGTACGCATTAAAGAGAAACCAGAGGGGACATGTTGTCGCGATGAAGAAAAGTGAGGGGACGATGGTCGTCCGAGAAGACGGCGTCACCCAAGGCATCATGACGCAAACATGGATGCGAACAATCTGTTTTGTACGGCGGATCATGGTAGAATTGGCGTGAGACCCTGTAGTTTGGTAACCGAGGCTCCAACAGGAGGCCTCAATCGTGAACATGCCGAAATTGCTTTGTGAACGCTGCCACACATGACCAAACGCCGGACGAGGGCCAAATCATAAAAGACGGACCGTCAGGGAGTCCGGGTTTCTGGTCATGAAACAGTTGAAGGCAGGGTCGCTCGACATGACACGGATGATTCGAAGCAGAGCGGACCGGCGGCTCGCATCATACCGGTGGCGCAGATTGTGGCGGAGGTGGGCAGCCGCACAAGCGTAAATCACCTGTATCGCGGAATTCCCAGGCGTCGGGCGTCGACCATCAAAGAGGCAACGATTGCGATCGGACCACACGAAGTGGAGCGTGACGGCACGCAATGTGTGCCAGACGTCATTGATGACCCCCGCATCGGAAACCCATGGCGCGCGTAACCGTCGTCGTCGAGCCAAGACAACGTCCATCCAAGTCGCCCGCTGAAAGAAGAAGTGGGCCAGAAGCCGGTGTAGCTGACCCCAAAGGTGAGCGGCGAGGACGCAATTGAAAAATAAGTGACGCTCCGTCTCGATTGCACCACAATCGGCCCGAACGCAAAGGCGAATACCAGGATCAGACGGCGCGAGAAACCAGAACCGCGAACGAACCGGCAGAAGACGGAACGCCAGACGGAACTGGAGGTCCCCATACACGGGAAGCAAGAGGCGCCGCAGGTACCTCGAGGTTGTCACGAAGGAAGAGATCGTGTCGGTGCTGGGGAGCGCTGAGTGAAGCAGAAGCGGGTGAGCTTGCGTCGGAGCAGGTGGCGTCCAGACAAGTCCGAGAAGCGCCGACTTAGGGACGGCCGGAAGGAGGCACAACTTATCCCCGCTGGCACACCCCAAATGTGGAAGAAGACGGCGCCCACCGGTCGGACGCTCGAAGACAAGTCCACCCGCACCAAGCCGCTCGACGATTTGCGTGGCCTCGGTGTACAGCACGCGCAACATGAGGACTTGACGCCATGGCACGACGGACTGCAAAGTAAAGTCCAGGTGGCTCTCGACAAAGGCCCGTTGCGAAGGCCAAGCGCCACCAGAACGGCAGAAATCCGATAATGATCGAATGCCAAAGACACGAGATAGGTGCAGCCGAAAACTGCGGTGCGGCTCAATCGCCATACCGAGGCAGCGGCGCTGCGCAGATACGGATGCAGTCCGTGAAGACCGTTCATAGTGAAGAACCGAATCCGCGTGGTACCAGATCGGCTCTCGGACACCATACAGAGCGCGGTCGACAGGAGGGAGGTCATGCCACGTCTCCGCCCATTTGATAGAAAACCACAATTTCCACGTCGCCTTCCACCAAGCGGGAGATAGGTTCCAGCGAATCATGGTACCATGCCGATAAGGAGACATGGTGAGAAAGTCTAAGGCAGTACTCTGACCTGCAGGCGGAATCATCAGCTGCAGCAATTCAGAGCTGGCCGACGTCCAGCCCCGAACAGCTGGGGTACAAAAGCCGGGCAGGAATTGAAGAAGAAGCTGAAGTCGTTGGCGGTGTAGATGGGCATCGAGGTACGGGATCCCTAAGCCGCCATTGCAACAGCGCTGATAGAGAAACGCACTTGGAATCAGTTGGACATGTGAAGAAGTCCGGTCATGCTGGCGGCTCAGGACAAAGCGATTTACCATCGACTGCCAGCGGCGCACAGTCGACCGTGGAATGGACACATGCTGTGTGTAATGCCACAGTCGGGAGAGTATCATCGTCTGGGCGACTAGGAGCCGACCACGAAGTGTCCGCGCGCGTCGGTACCAAAGTTTAAATCCGTCGTAGAAGCGCTGCTCCAGGTGAAGCACGAGGCCATCGACGACAGAAGACTGTCCAAACGGAATGCCAAGATACTTCACGGTATCTGTCCGCCCGAGCACGCGTGTACCCCGAAGCAAAGGGCAATCGTGGTTTCGATTGAGCGCGAAAAGCACTGACTTGGACAAGTTTAACTTGGCACCGGATCCACGACAGTAGAGGCGGACCAGGTCAAGCTGGGCGCTCAAATGCGCGATAGAATTGCTCAAGAGAGTGGAGTCATCCGCAAAGAACGTGCCGGTAGCGGTGTGGTCGGCCGACAGGCACACACCATACTCTTCGTGGGAACGAAGAAGATTGCCAAGAGGCTCAATGGTCAAGATGAAGAGCAGAGCAGACAACGGATCGCCCTGCTTGACACCACGAGTAGGGAAAAGCGCGGGCTGGATGTTCTGATTAATCAGCAGATGAGCCTGTGTGTCTGTGTACAGTAGTCGGATCCACTGTGCAAACCGGTCACCAAAACCCATGCGGTCAAGCACGCGAAACATGTAATCCCAGTTGACCCGGTCAAAGGCTTTCTCGAAATCCAGAAACATCGCATACGCTTCTTCATCCCGACCCGTAACCAGGTCTTGAAGGTCAGAGAGAAAGCGGATATGATGGTGTATCGACCTGCCTTTGACGAATCCTTTCTGGTCCTGATGGATCAGGTCCGAAATTACATGGTGGAGACGAAACGTCAGTGCCTTCGATAGGACCTTCACATCAACCTGTACAAGAGAAATAGGGCGATAGTTGCCAGGAACGGCGCGCGACCCTTTCTTGTGAAGCAGCACCACAGCAGATTTCCGCTGAGACGGAAGGAGGTGCCCATGACGGAGGCGGTCATTGAAAACGACGCTAAGGCACTCACCGAAGACGTCCGGCGCGACTTGGTAGAAACCGGCTGTCAGCCCATCCATGCCCGGCGCTGAGGTAGCACGCATGTGACGAATTGCACTCGCCAAGTCCGCAGAGGTCACGGGAGCATCCAATATAGCCCGGTCCAGGGAGGAGACAGACCGACTGATGGAGTCAAGAAGCTGGCGTTGCAAACGCGGATCAGGTGGAGGCTCTGGTCCAGAAGAACTAGCCGTGTCGCCCATCTCGGACCCCCAGTGCTCCAAAAAGCGGAGCGACACAGCATTGGGATTTGTCGACAGCGATCCGTCTGGCAACATGACCTCCTCAATGGAAACCCGGCGCAGGCTTGTGTCCAGGGGACGGAAGAAGTGCCTGGTCGATTTTTCGGTGTTGGCAGCGTGGAAATCAAAGACCGCGTCTTGGTTGTACTGGCTCGTACGAGTCACAGTCTCCCGATAGTACAGGAGGGCTGCATCAAATTGGTGGCGGTTCGTGGCACAGGAACCGTCACGATAGCGAGAAGCGGCGCGATTGAGTTGGATGCGCGCCTCTTCCACCGCTTGAGTGTCTTGAAGACGGAGCTTCTGCTGGACCGCCTGCAGTTGTGACTTGATGCATCGCTTCCATTTTTCCCAGACCTTGCCGGGGTTTGAAGTCGAGCGAAGCGCCGCCCGGACCAGTTCCGCCTCTGTCTCGATAGCAGAAACCACCAAGGGGTACTCCAAAAGATAGGAAGGAAACTTCCAGTACCCTCGACCATGAAGCTGAGCGCCAGAGCGAAGACCGACACTATGGGCAAGGTGATCACCCGCATGTCTGGGGAGAAAGTACTTGGAATCGCCGTAGAAACGATCGCAGAAATCCGCGGACACCAAGATGTAATCCAGACGATTTTTACGGGGAAGAGGACCAGTGAACACACGCGCGGTACCGTGGTGAATTCGCCAAGCGTCAACGACACCCAACTTGGCAAGCCATTCAAGACAACTCGAGCGGCCGGGGTCGTATCTCAAGTCGGGACTAGAAGAATCGAGCCGAGGATCCAAGGGAGTGTTGAGATCACCCAGGACGAAATGGGTCGCGGTATCCTCAAACTGCTCAGTCGCGAGGCTAGAGAAAAACTGTTGTTTCTCCTGGGGGTCCACCGGAGCGTATACATTGTGTATGTACAAAGGCGTACCGGCGACCGACACACGAACAACGAGATACCTGCCCGCGACGGACAGACGTGGGACCGCGACGGCCGAATCGAACCCGGGAAAGTCAGAACGAAGGATTGTGAGCACACCATTCCGCCGTTCACGGGTCGGACGGAGAAGCAAGGTGTTTGGATCAGTGACGAATAGTCTGTGATGAAAGCTGGACACGAGATGGAACTGGAAGGTCGAAAGGTGGGTGGAGTCACCAAACTTCGTTTCTTGAAGACACGACACCGAGTGCTTGCAGAGCAAATGCTCAATAAGAAGATGCCCGTTCTGTTTGATACCGTTGGTGTTTAACGTAAGAACACTCACGTTGCTCCAGGATGGCTGGCATGAGTCAAGTTTAGCACCGCGAGGCCAAGCCTCCCGCTAATATCGTGACTTCCCCGTTGACAGCCCGTAGCTTCAGGACGGAAGAATCCATCGGGTAATATCCGCTAAGCGCCCGGAGTGTGTCGAGTGTGTCAAGGAGATGACCTTGCCACTGCACTTCAGCCCACTGCTGCATACAATGAGCTCCCAGCTCGGAGCGTAGGAGACGAAGAAGGGTATTGGGATGGAGAAGACGCGTGTGGTGCGCTGGTATCCACTCCACAGGCCGTCCAGTGATGTACTGGATCCAGTGATCATTGGCGAATATGAGCGGAGCAATTGACATGAGCATGAGCTCGAACAGGCCCAAGGCCTTGGAAGCACGAGACAACTCCTCGATCTCAGGAGAAGACGTCCACCATTTGCCCGTCTAGCTCAGTCGGTAGAGCGCAAGACTCTTAATCTTGTGGTCGTGGGTTCGAGCCCCACGGTGGGCGACTGCTTTACTGTGGTCTCTCTTGAGATTCTGTTTTCACTTCCACCAAACAAATCCATTTGCATTGGACTACAGTTTTGTCGCCGCTTCGTACAAGTTTTCTCGTAGCGTCAGCGATACGCGCATTCTGCGTCTCTGCAGGCTGACAGCTAGATATATTCCGGAAAGCCTGCCATGAGGCTGGTGCGTATCGCGCATTCGCAACATCATTGACCACATATCGTGTTTACATACGTACGACAAATCAACTCTCGATGTCGATGGGATGAAGCATCAACACGTCGTCTGTAGGTTGTGCGGCCTGCCAAGGAGAGGTCGCACACGAGTCGCCATGGGTAGCGGCTGTCGTGCTGGTGTCGGTCTCTACCGATCGATCGGACGGACGAGATTTGCGGTCAGCGGTGGCTGATGTACATAGACGAGTCTGTGTCGTCGGAAAGAAGATATGAAGAGCATGGTAGCTTGCTTGCATGATGTTGAGCGCGGTTGAGCGTGATTTTGAGCGATGGAGTCGGTGAGTGGACGAAGCCCGTCTAGCTCAGTCGGTGGAGCGCAAGACTCTTAATCATTGGTCGTGGGTTCGAGCCCCACGGTGGGCGGCTGCTTTACTGTGGTCTCTCTTGAGATTCT